GCTTGCATAAAAAGGGCTTCCTCTTTGCACTGTAGAGTTTCAGCTGGCAACGGCGGATGGCATGGTGGATTGTGTTCACTGACAATGCTTTCTGGAAGTATACCTGAGCCCATTCTGTTATTTCCTTGACAGTGACATTCCTGTTTGAGGTGCAGTGATGTTTAAGGGCCCGGAGATCATGAGCATCCAGTAGAGTTTTACGGCCTTGACCCTTACGCACAGCGATTGGTCCAGATTCTCTGAATCTTTTGATGATGTTATGCACGGTTGATGATGATAACTTAAAAGTCTTTGCTATTTTACGCTGGGTAACACCATTCTGGTATTGCTGCACTATCTGTCTGTGCAACAATGGTGGAATTGGTGATCCTCTTACCATCTTGGCTTCTGAGAGACACTGACACTCTGAGAAGCTCTTTTTATACCCAATCATGTTGTCAATTGACCTAATTAGTGTTAATTGGTCTTCCAACTGTTCGTTATATGCTCAATTTCCTTTTTCCAGCCACTTATTGCTACTTGTCCCAACTTTTTTGGGATTTGTTGACACTGACATTTTTAATCAACATATTTTTCCTTTAAAATGTTACATTTACTCAGATTAAACTTTTGATCTTTCATCTATGTTATATTACGAATAAAATATTGACATTTGCCATCTCTACATCATTGCATTTAGTTTTTATTCACAATTTGTTTAGTGTCCCAACTTTTTTGGAATCTGGTTTGTAAATTGTTGTAAGACAAATGAGCATGAAGTTGAGCAGCAACTATTTTTTCAAGAAATTTGGAGATGAATGGAAGATTTGAAATGGGGCAAAAATTATTGAGATTATTGGAATCTAAACCAGGTTTTTGGAGTTACAACAGCTATTTTGAGAGCAAGGGGAACAACACCAGTGTAGTGAACTAAGCCTCAGGTCAAAACCTGATCCTGGGACAGGAACTGTTATTTCATTGATTTGAGTCCAGAAATACAAATTAAGCTCATCCAGAGACTTTCTAAGTGTGTCCTGCACGGATCAATTGAAAGAACACTCTCTGTTTATTATCATTACTATTTTACAATATCTTGATAATCAAAGTGTGTTTAGTTCAAACCATTTTAAATGTTGAAGTGAACTACTCATTTTAAATCAACTGTGAAACAGTATAAATGATTTTTAATCCTCATTCAAAGTAGAAATCAAGTTAAAATGCCTGTTACAAGTAATTATGCATTTTTGATCTTCTGTCTGAAATGAGAAGGAGTGAGTCGGTCAAAAGTCAAGGAACAGTCAAAAAGATGTTTATCGGAACGAAATGTCATGTTTAACTCTCTCAGATAGATAGAAGGAAACTGGCTCCTAAATGTCTCTGTTTCTTCAAAACATCTTTCTGTCTGTTCTTAAAACATCTACTCTGTCTCCTTGACATGTAATGACCCTCTGACGTCACTAAAACCACACCCCGGTTGGTTCGTTCAACCAATCAGGAAGTTCTCAGAGGAACTGGAAGTGACCTCTTTAAAAGGGTCGACACTTCCTAGTTCCAAGGAGAACAAGTTCCAAGCTGAACAGCGTTCCAGAGAGAACCAGAGTTCCAGGGAGAACCTCGAATGAGAAGTTCCTGAACGAGAGAAGTTCAGAGGAACAGAAGTTCCGAGCAGTTTCTAATGGAGTGACAAGAGTCCGTCGATGCCACGACGTCTCGCTGTGGCTCTACCCGACGAACGCTCTGAACAATGAGGAAGTCTGTTCTGTGATGATCTCACGACTCCTGAGGTCACAGCTGTTCTTACGGAGACGCTGAAAAGAGTTGAAAGAAAACTCTACATCTAAGCCGAAACTATCGTCTGCAAAGGTAAAAGAGTCGATCTTCACTTGCGAGTGTACCGTGGGTTAAGCTGCGTCCAAAGGAGCGTGTTGTTTCTGGTTATACAGACACATTCCCTCACCCATCTCTCTCCATTTAAACTTCATTTTCCCATCTTTAAAACTCTTCTATCTGCCAGTAATTAATCCAGATATTTTCAGAAATGTCTGTTGTATTTCAGTTGCAAGTGAGAAATCATGGCCGTATGATTTCTCATTGTAAAGCTCATTAATTAAGCTGTGTTAATTGTAATCAATCTGCCAATTAATGTAAATGTGTGATGTGTTTTAAATCGTTTTAAATAAACGACCCACTGTTGTTGGTGAGTCAGAAATTTAAACACGTTTCCGTCCACATTTAATATTCAAAACACGATATTACTCAGTCCAGAAAAATGAAAGAATCTGTTTAAATAAAGGATAATATCAGACGCATATTATCTCTCATTACAACTGGTGGCCCGTAACGGTTCATGAATGGACTGTGCTATTCTGTAACAATTGAATTTATCATGTTGGCATATCTGATCTTAACTGAAATTAGCTTAAAAGTGCAGATTTCTGTTCGACTGTGAAACGCAGCGTTTTGCAGCTGTGGGGTTAGGAGAAAATACAGTGATGTATTCGGCTTGTGGTGTTTTTAGAGCTGAAAGTAACGTCAATGTGTTCATCTTAAAGCTGAAATTTGTACATCTGTTGTGTAACTAAGCTGACATATTGTGAAAACGTTTGATTCTGTTTAGACTTTTATCAGAAGGGGGTTCTGTTGAGACCCGGTTCTGTCGCTCGGTTCTGATTCGTTCGAACGAGTCGTTTTAAATGGATGAAAGTTGTTTTAAAAGCTGAGCGCCGTCTCAGATCACTGTTGTTTAAAGTTGAAAAACGCTTTAAAGTTGGCTCTGAACCACTGATCCAATTATTAAAAGCCTAATCGCTGAAACTTTGCCACGTTTGAGCTTTAAATCCGTTCAGAAAATGTTGATTTGACCGAGTTTCGCCGATGCTAATTCTAAAGCTAACGGCTAAAGACCGGATGTCACCAAAGCCACAGGAAGTCATCGCGACTCCTACTGGACGTCACTAACAGTGACAGGTTAAAATAAATAAGGTTACACTGCCACCTCCTGTTGGAAACTCGAAATCACAGTTTCACTTCGTGTTTAGGATATTTTGGTGAAATTAAACGTTTTTTATTTCTGTCAGAAGCATTTTTGAGTTAATAAACGTTCCTCAAGCTGATTTGTACTGTTATCTTACATTTAAAAAGTGATTAAAGTATTTATGCCCAGAGAAGGCGTTTACTAAGAAATTTTTCATTCACTGATAAATCCTCATGAGGAGGTGCAAAATGAAAAATTAAGAACTTTTGATAGATACAGTCTAGATAATCACAGAGTTGATAAGTTTACTCAATTGCTGAAAGGAAAATACACGTTTAATTGCTAAAACACCAAATATAAAATAAATATAACAGAAAAGGAAACCTTTCTGATTTATTTTACCACCTAAAAACACAACATCTTCCTGTCTATTTATTTAAATAAAATAAATAAAGAGATAATGGAAAAAAAAGGAGGAAAGCAATGACCCCTTGAGCTCCTATGAGCCAGATGATGAAAATCAACAGGTTGACATAATTCAGAGAGCTTTAAATATTTTAACGACCCCAGTAATTGGTACACCATTAGAAGAGATGGATGAAATTCAGAAAGCTACGGTACTGAAAAGTTTAGCAGAAAAAGCCACGGTGACAGAGAATAAAAAGCTGAGCCTTGAACGGTTAGCAAAAATTTCTCTGCTTTTCAAAGACAAATTGGAACAACAGGTTGAACAAAATGACGTGCTGTCTAAAGCATATGCAGAAGACAGAGAGGAGTATCTCAAATTCATGGCACAGTCTAAACTTGATGAAGAGACAAGTGCACATGAGTTACAACGTGAGAGGGAGCTCTCACAAAATCACCTTACTTTACAAGCTCACTCATATGAGGAGAAGATGAAGGAAAGGGAGGTCAAGTACCGAAAGTTGTGTTCAGACAACAATGCTCTACAACAACAGTTGCAACAAGCATCAAATGCTCTGAGCGGATGCAAATCTGAGATAGACGCGCTTAAAACACAACTTTGCCATGCAGAAAGGGAAAATAGTGAGAGGCATGGACAGAATGTGGGGACACAATGGGCTCCAGACCCAAATCTCCTTACATCACACACACCTCCACCCTTACCTAAAGTAGCAGGGACAGACCTGATCAGGTCTCCTCTACCAAGCAGGCAAGAGAGACGGTTGAGACTTCCTCTTTCAATAGATGAACTTCAAAAACTCTCAAAATATGTACAACGCTTTATTCCTGGGCCTATGGGTTCTACTGGTACAAAGGCGTATCTCAATTACCTAGATTTCAGACTGAGTGGTTATCCTAATGCTACGGTTGAGGATAAAATCAGTCTGATAAGGCTCACTTCGGACAGAGAGGTGTTCACCTTCATCGAGCGTCAACCTGATGCCAC